GGAAACAGCTGACATTCATGGAGCCCTCACAACGCCGGGCACTGTGCTGAGTGCTTTACATCCCTCGATCCACTGACCTTGACAACCACCCTATGAAGTGAATATTGTTATGACTCTCATTTCACAGTTGGGGAAACTGAGGCTCTCAGAGGTAAGTGACCTGCCCAAGGTCACAGGCAATCAGTGGAGGGACAGGGACTCAGAGCCAGGCTTTATGGTCCAAGAGTCTGCTGGGCCCACACAACACCACAGGGCCACGCTGTGCGTGTACCTCCTCTCCCCACTCAAGAGGAAGCTCCCTGAATGCGGTCCACAGACCAGGAACACCTGTCCTGGGGGCTGCTGTGGCTGAAATCCAGCTCCAGCTCCACGGCCACGCCTTGCATCCACAGGCCTGCATCCCAGGGGCAACCATTCCTCTTTCCCCTGAAGGCAACATGCAGGTGACGGGAAGCCTGAACGACATAGACATGGCTCAACTCTACCCACAAGGGAGCCTGTGGCAGCTCAGAAATACCCTTCCGTGAATGTTCCCTGCCTTTTAGCACACGCGCACAGCAACCAGGCACCTCCTCCTGAGCAGCAAACGTCGCCATTGATGACACTAAGCTCAGTCACGGGATATTTACTCACTGAGTGCCATCTGCAATGTACCACACAGTGGGGGACATGGGCAAATCTGACACAGCCTCAACCGCCAGGAGTTCACAGACCACCAGGGGGACCTGTTACCCAGTGGACCTGATGGTCCCACTAAACTGAACACTCACCCAAGGCCAGCCTTGTACTCTCTCTTCCTCTGTTCTGTGTAGGACTCTGGCTCTCTGGGAGGCAGTGTGGCCAGTGCCTGACAGCAGGGCTCTGGAGCCAAACTGCTTGGGTTCAAATCCGGGTCCTGCCACTTACTAGCCACTTAGAAAAGAGTGAACAACTCCAGCCAAAGACTGCCATCCTCCGAAAGCCCTTCCTGTAAGGCTGGGCCTCAGCTGATGTCTGGGAACATGGATTTTGGGAGGGTTTCCACTATTTTCTGGTTAGAGTGGCTCTCTGTTTTCAAACTGTCTGTGCGAACAGTGTGGCTTATGCTGAGCACCTGCTTTCCTTCTGGGAGTCTGGAATCTTGGTATATGCCAGGCAGACAGTGCCTACATGGCCAGCCCCCAATAAAAATTCTGGCACTGAGTCTCTAAGAGCTTTCCTGGTAGACAACACTTCACATGTGTTATCACGACTCATGCTGGGGGAATGAAGCATACCCTTTGTGACTCCACTAGGAGAGGACTCTTAAAACTTGCATCCCAGCACTTTGGGAGGCCCAGGTGGGCAGATCATGAGGTCAGGAGATGGAGACTCTCCTGGCCAACATGGTGAAATCCCATCTCTACTAAAAAACAACAAATTAGCCGGGCATGTTGGCATGCACCTGCAGTCCCAGCTACTCAGGAGGCTGAGGCAGGAGACTCGCCTGAACCCAGGAGGCAGAGGCTGCAGTGAGCTGAGATCACGCCACTGCACTCCAGCCTGGGCCATAGAGCGAGACTCTGTCAAAAAAAAAAAAAAAAAAAAAAAAAGCTTGCAGGTGATTTTCTCCAAGCTTCTCCCCATGAACCTTTTCCCTGTGTTGATTTTGCTTTGTATCTTTTCACTGTAGTAAGTCATAGCAGTGGGTACAACTACAGGCATGCATCACCTAACGACAGAGAGATGTTCCTAGAAATGCATTGTTAGGCGATTTCCTCATTTTGCAAACATCATAGCGTGGCTTATACTAACCCAGATGGTCTAGCCTGCTATTCGCCTACACTCTATGGTATAGTCTATTGCTCCTAGGCTACAAACCTGTACAGCATGCTACCGTACTGAACCCTGTAGGTAACTGTAACACACGCTAAGTATTTGTATATATAAATAGATCTAAGTATAGAAAAGGTACCAAAGCCTGTAATCCTAGCACTTTGAGAGGCTGAGGTGGCTGGGTCACTTAAGGTCAGGAGTTCAAGATTAGCCTGGCCAATGTGGTGAAACCCTGTCTCTACTAAAAATACGAAAACCAGCTGGACGTGGTGGTGGGTGCCTGTAATCCCAGCTACTCGGAAGGCTGAGGCAAGAGAATCACTTGAATCTGGGAGACAGAGGTTGCAGTGAGCTGAGAATGCACCACTGCACTCCAGCCTGGGTGACAGAGCAAGACTCCATCTAAGAAAATAAAGAAAGAATATAAAAATATGTACAAAAGACAAAAAAAATGCACTTGCATAGGAAATTGACCATAACCGGAGCTTGCGGGACCGGAAGTTGCTCTGGGCGAGTCAGTGAGTGAGTGGTGAGTGAATGTGAAGGCCTGGGGCATTACTGGACACTGTCAAACTAGAAACGCTGCATCTTCAGGCTACACTAAATTTATTCATTTTATTTGAGACAGAGTCTCGCTGTGTTGCCCAGTCTGGAGTGCAGTGGCATGATCTCAGCTCACTGCAACCTCCGCCTCCCAGGTTCAAGCAATTCTCATGTCTCAGCCTCGAGCAGCTGGAATCACAGACATGTGCCACCATGCTCAGCTAATTCTTTTGTATTTTTAGTAGAGATGGGTTTCGCTATGTTGGCCAGGCTGATCTTGAACTCCTGGCCTCACGTGATCAGCCCACCTCGGCCTCCCAAAGTACTGTGATTACAGGTCTGAGCCACAGTGCCTGATCACTAAATTTATTTAAAAAGTACATGCTGTGTAGGTTTCTTCAGTAATAAGTTAATCTTGGCTTACTATAACTTATTTACTTTATTTAATTTTACTTTAAGTTCTGGGATACATGTACAGAACGTGCAGGTTTGTTACATAAGTATACATGTGCCATGGTGATTTGCTGTACCTATCAACCCACCACCTAGGTTTTAAGCCCTGCATGCATTAGGTATTTGTCCTAATGTTCTCCTTCCCCTTGTCCCCTACCTGCCAACAGATCCCAGTGTGTGATGTTCCCCTCCCTGGGACTTTATTACCTTTCCATTATTTTTTTAACATTTGGACTCTGTGGTAATAACACAGCTTAAGACACAAACACATTATATAGCTGTACAAAAACAGCTCCTTTCTTTATATCCTTACTCTGTCAACTTTCTATATTTTTCAGATTTAAAAAAAAAAAAACTTCTTAAACTTTTTTGTTAAAAACTAAGACACAAACACGCACATTAGCCTAGACCCACACAGTGTCAGGATCGCCAACATCCCTGCCTTCTGCCTCCATGCCTTGTCCCACTGGAAGGTCTTCAGCGGCAATGACATGCATGGATCTGCCATCTCCTAGGATTACAATGCCTTGTTCTAGACCCGTCCGGACGGACCTGCCTGAGGCTGATTTATAGGTAAGTTTACTTTGGATTTGGTCAGTGGAAGGAATACATTCTAAAATAACAATAAAAAGTGTGTATAGTGAATACGTAAACCAGTAACATAGTCTTTTAGTGTCATTATCAAGTATTATGTTTGTACATAATTGTACATGCTAGACTTTTTACGACTGGCAGCACAGTAGGTTTCACACCAGAATCACCAAACAGGTGCATAACGCACTGTGCTATGATGGACGGTACACAGCTACGTCGTCACCGGATGATGGGAATGTTTCAGCTGCATTACAGTCTTAGGGGAACACCTTCACATATGCAGTCTGTTTACTGGATACAATGAATTCTAAATTTTTCTTCAAAGAATCAGCATGTCAGTATGTCCAGTTCTTTGTCCTCCATTTTAAAGCTTAATTTCCTTGTAGTTTCGGTAAACAACCTCCTCCACCAGTTCTAATCAGTAGTTCACATGTGTTCCCCTGGTCCCCATCTCCATCCTGACTCATCTCAGTCACCTGCTTCAGTCACCTTCCCTGGTCACCTGCTCCAGTCACCTGCTTTGACCTAGGTCACCCCTGGCTACCTGCTCTGACCTGCCCGTAACCATCCTCACCAAGCCACCCACCCTGCCCCTCCGGCTCGTACCCCTGCTCTCTTTAGCATAGCCAATCAGGATTAGTCCAGCCTGTGCAGTCTAACCCTAGCCAACAGGGGAATAACACAGCAGTAGCGGCAACCTCCGTCAGGGTAAGTACCCCTTTTCCTCCCTTGTCCGGGTGTGTGCTCACCATTGCTCCATCCATGAGGCACACCCTTCTATAGAAGCAAACTGCCTTGCTGAGAGGGTTTATCTTCAAGTATTATTTCTTTTGCAGCACTGAAATTTTACTTCAATGACATTGTTCACCAAAATGTCATTAGGTGGCGCATGACTAGACATGTAAGTCCCGTGAGTCACCCTGGAGAACCATTGAACCTGGGGGTGGGTCTTGGGGACTCTGACATTCTAGCCACGGGATCTTGGGCAAATGACTTGACTTCAATGTGTCTTGGTTTCCTCATCTGAAATGGCAGTGATTTTAAAACAGAATCTGTCTCACCAGACTGTGGTAAAGACGACGCAATTCCACATACGTAAATTGCTTAGAATGCCTGGTACTCAGTAGGTGTTTAAGAAACGTGAAGTATTGTTACCTGGTGAATTAACACTTGGTGAATACAGGAATGAGTGAATGTGTGAGCTACAAATGAAGAAACTAAATAACAGAAATAGAGAAGTATTTGTGGGGAATAGCAGAAGCAGAGAGGCCTGCCCACAGACAGCAGGCTTTGGGAAGATCTGGGAAGACAAAATGTGACCAGAAGCTTGATCTAGTGGCAAACGCTGGGCACAAGTAGGAGCGTGGCTGGACAGTAGCACAGACGGGCAGTAGAGCCTCAGCCTGTCCAGCCTGTGGCTGACCCCCCTTGCCGAGGTAGAGGGTCATCCAGGAAAACCAGTGAGGCAGCCTCAGGGCACACAGGAACTGGGGTACCAAGGCCAGCAGCTGGCCCCTCCCCATAGCACCAAGGACAGGCAGGAGACCCACACAGCACAGGTGTGAAGAGACACAGATATAAGGCAGGGGGTGTTCAGGTCGTGTCATTTCTCTTACCCTTATGCTTTCTTCTGCCGTTATGGTAAAAAGTGCTTTCAGCTCTGTTCTGTTCTAGAAAAGGAAAAAAGAAAACGCTTTCAACAACAGTTTGGGGTCTGACATGTGGGGTAACATTTGGTGTGATTTCCAACCCACCAAGCCCGGAGCTGGAGTCGGCCCTAACTTCTGCACAGGCCAGAGCTTGTGAAGGTTGCACCATCGGAGGAACGGCCTATGGGCTTAGGATTCCTCCCTCTCTACCAGAGGCTGCGTGAAATCCAAACACCAGGCTCGCTAACATCCAAAAAAGTCACAGCAGCATGCCCTTGTGGACAAATGCTTGGGGTGGGGCGCTGACTCCAAGCCCGTGACCAGGGTAGGTCACCTCCGGCCTCCCAGCATCTGCCTCCTTCACAAAGGCAGACAGAATCCTGGGCTCTGACAGGACGGCACTGTTCTTCTCTCCCTCAAATGCATTTGGTTCTCCAAACCCCAACTCCCTGTGGGTCAATTCCTAATGCTCTCTAATATTCCTCTGCTGAGAAGATACATGAAACAGAAAAATGAAGCATGTTACGGCATTCCACCTGTCTAACCGCATGGTGTCTGAGAAGACCCAACATGAGAACACACTTCTTCCTGGGGGTGGAGGCAGAAGAGCTTGCAACTGACAGGCAGTATATAGGGTGGTGGCTAGGGCCAGGCTGTCTGAGTTCATACAGGGCTCCACTGCTCACCGACAGTTGTACCTTGGGCAAGGTATTAGCCTCTCTGTATCTCTATTTTCTCATCTGTGAAATGGTAATCATCTCTAATTCACAGAATGGCTATGAGGATTAAGTTAGGTAATACAGAGCCCTGAAGAGTGCCTGACACTAGGGGGTGCTATAAAACATTACTGCTGTTGGTAGCAGTCGCTGGTACTAGTAATATGAACGGTAGCAGCAGAAGTAGCAATAGCAGGTCAGGTGTGGCGGTTCACACCTGTCATCCCAGCACTTTGGGAGGCCGAGGCAGGCGGATCACCTGAAGTCAGGAGCTCAAGACCAGCCTGGTCAACATGGTGAAACCTGGTCTCTACTAAGAATACCAAAATTAGCCATGTGTGGTGGCGGGTGCCTGTAATCCCAGCTACTGGCAAGGCTGAGGCAGGAGAATGACTTGAACCTGGGAGGTGGAGGTTGCAATGAGCTGAGATCGCGCCATTGCACTCCACCCTGGGTGACAAGAATGAAACTCTGTATCAAAAAATAATAATAATAATAAATGTTTAAAAAAGCAATAGCAGTAATAGTAGTAGTAGTACCATTATATAGAATCAGACCAGCCGGGAGCGGTGGCTCACGTCTGCCAACCCAGCATTTTGGGAGGCCGAGGCGGGTGGCTCACCTGGGGTCAGGAGCTCGAGGTCAACCTGGCCAACGTGGTGAAACCCCATCTCTACTAAAAATACAAAAATTAGCCAGGAATGGTGGCAGATGCCTGTAATTCCAGCTACTCGGGAGGCTGAGGCAGGAGAATGGCTTGAACCCAGGAGGCGGAGGTTGCAGTGAGCCCAGACCACACCATTGCACTCCAGCCCGGGTGGCAAGAATGAAACTCCGTCTCAAAAAAAAAAAAAAAGAACCAGACGTTGGGACTTGGAGCTTGCAGCCCAGTGAGCTAAGCAACCTGTGTAATTCTCATTACAGACACGACTAGGGCATTTTTCTGTAACCTGAGCTATGCACCTCCCAAGGTAACAAATCCCCTGCAGATGCTACGGCAGCAGGCAAGGAAGCAGCAGGACTTCCCAAATCCACTGTGGGCCAGCAGGCCAACCTCATGGAGGCTTCAGAGAAAATCAAAATACTGTATGTCCTCTTTCCCTAAGAGGGAAATGGAACAGTTTTAGACTTTTTAAAGAAGAGACACCTCTGAGGCATTCACTTGGCCTTTTCTGTTCTGGAGTTGCCTCTCCTTTGTAATACGTCTGGTGCCTTGGAGTCTCAGGGTCTCCTGAGCTGCAGCCTGACGCTAAGTTCAGAGCCCACATTCCAGTGCATTCTGCTGTGTTCCCCACTTCCTGTGCTTTCTCATGCCCAAGGTCTACACAGATAGGAGCCTAAAGCGTACTATCAAAGCTTTCCTTCAACTCTTTGCAAAACATAAATCCTCGGCAGGGAGCGGTGGCTCACACCTGTAATCCCAGCACTTTGGGAGGTTAAGCAGGTGGATCAGAACGTCAAGAGATCGAGACGATCCTGACCAACATGGTGAACCTCATCTCTACTTAAAAATTTTAGTAGAGATGAAAAAAAAAATTAGCTGGATGTGGTGGTGCATGCCTGTAGTCCCAGCTAGTCAGGGGGCTGAGACAGGAGAATCGCTTGAACCCTGGAGGTGGAGGTTGCAGTGAGCCACAATTGTGCCACTGCACTCCAGCCTGGTGACAGAGTGACACTCTATCAAAAAAACAAAACAAAAAACCATAAAGCCTCACCCCAGTAAAGGTATGTAGTTATGACATAAACTTCAAGGCTTGAGACATGTGTTCTAATTCCTAGCATGAAGCCAGAAAACATGGACCCAGAGGGAATCAACACATTGTTACTGAGCACCCATCATGTGCAGGGTTCTCTTTTTGGCATTTGTCATTCCCAACAGGTTGATGCCACTTTCTTGGAGACATAGCTATGAATAGGATACACGAGGTCCCTGGTTTCATGGAGCTGACATTCTAGTGAGGGATGGAGGGGATTGCTAGCGGGTAGAGTCAATATCACAGAGAAGAACCAAACAAAGTGACAGGCGGGACTATTTCAGGGCATAGCAGGGGAAGCCACAAGGAAGGTCGCCCGGGAGCATGCAGGGAGCCAGGCTGTGCCGAGCCACAAGCCACCTGCTGCCCAGCCAGCATGGCCCAGGAGCACACACAGCTGCCCAGGGCTGCAGCTCCTGAGGCTCCTGCCCGAGGACACGGGAGCTTCTGTCCGTTTCATTTCATTCGGAGTTTCTGATTTGCTTTCTGACTCTTACCTTATCTTATATTTTGATTTTAATTTACTTGGTTTCCTGTCTTCTGAAATTGCTGGTATTTATTCTGGGCCATTTCATCTCTAATTTTAAAAATCTGTCTTTGTCCTCTTTTTTACTTTACACTGAATTACTTCCTAAGAGACTTGTCATTCCCACCAGGCTTATGTCATTTTCTTGTATCTTGTATTTAGCCTCTTTCATTTTATATAAATTTATCTAAGATGTTTTTTGATTTTTTTTGTCCCCCTCATTGCAGCAGAAATGTCACATTGGCCTTGCAGCCTCAAGGGTGGAAGGAGGCCCAAGGAGGAGGCTGCAGGGCACAATTTGATTCTGTTATGTGACCTGGGGCGGCCACAATCACGATATGAGCCGCATCTTCCATGTCTGTGAATAGGGAAGACTTTCTCCAGGGGCTGAAACCACAATAAAATGACAAAAGGAAGCAGAGCATCCTGATCTTCTTGAAGTTAGGGACCACATCTCCTCCAGCCTGTACCCACGGTGTGCAGCACCTGCCAATCCGGCAGACAGCCAGTGTTCACTGCAGAAGTGAACTCACCACAGGGGAAGTGAGAGACGGAGAGACTCACTGTAATGGTATTATGGGCCAGACTGTGTTCCCCAAAATTCCTATGTTAAAGTCCTAAGTCCCAGTGCCCCAGGATGTGACTGTGTTTGGAAATAGAGTTTTTACAGAGGTAATAAGGTAAAGGGAAGTCACCAGGCTGGGTCCTGGTCTTGCATGCCTGGTATCCTCATGGAAGAGGTTAGGACACAGATGCACAGACAGGAAAGCCCTTAGGAAGACACAGGGAGAAGGCAGCCTCTGCAAGCCAAAGACAGGCTCAGAAGGAATCAGACCTGCAGACACCGTGATCTCTGGCTTCCAGCTGCAAGGAAATTACATTTCTGTTGTTTTTAAGTCTAGCCTATGGTACTTTGTTATGGCAGCCCTGGAAAATCAATAGTAATGGTAACTACCAGTTAGGTGCTTACAGGGTGCAGGACACAGGGGTGAGAAATTGACATGTATTGATTACCTATCCTTATAATAACCTCATGTGAGGCTCAGAGGGGTTAAGTAACTTAGGCAAAGTCACATGGGCATGACTAAGGGAGCCAGGTTCCTGGCAAGGTGTGAGATTCCAGGGCCTGTCCCCTCCTCTGCAAGGTGGCACCCCTGAATGAAGGAAGAAAGTAACAGGTCTTCTGCCCAAAGTGTCCCTGTTTCTAAAACAACCTCTCTTGGCAGTGACAAGACAGAGATTAAAGTAACAAAGGTAATACCTGTGACGAGCTCTGAAAGGTGAGCTGGGCAGGAAGTTTGAGGCTTTCTCCGTTCCAGATGTCTCCAGCCTGGAGGGTGGCTGTGTAGCTGATGGCAAAGGCATCTCCCACTGTGCAGAGAAAAGCACCTGTGGGTCAGGGAGGGCTTGGCCACGCCCACAGCCACTCCCCACCAAACCCCAGACACATCCTGGCCTCTGGGTGGTTCCAAGGGAGGCCACCAGGGCAGTGACGCCTACAGCAAGGAAGCACTTTGTATTGCACACGCCTGATTGCGGGGAGGGAATTCTCTGAGTGGTAAACTGAGGAGAGTGAGCTAGGCGGACTCCGGGTCCTGGAGCTTCCAGTCACGAGCTGGGGTGCACGACCGGCAACAGGGCTGGCTCTCCCCGCCCTTTCTCACTGTGCAGCAGGCCTCATTCCATGAATAAGTCTGGGTGGGCTGCGCTCAGCCCGTCCTGCTCGGGAGAGGTGGTAACAGGACTGTAGGCCTTCGCCCGGCGTGGTCAGGTGGGTGACGGAGCCCGTCTAACTCTGCCAGTCACTGTTCTTACCTAAGCTTGCCTTCCAATGTTGCCTTTCTCCCTAATCCAGGTTACCTATAGCCCTAAAATGCCACCATATGCCTCATTTCTCAATTTATACAGACCTCAAATACATATATATATATA